AATGTGAAATGTATATTAATTAAGCAAAATATTTACAGTATTATTTGTCCCAAATAAAAAATATGCGTACCTAGATTGAAACTGCTATGCAGCTTCCTTTGCTTTAGCTCACGGCTTAACATTTTCTTGCTATAATATAGAATGTGAGAGAGAGAGAGAGAGAGAGAGAGAGAGAGAGAGAGAGATAAATAAATAATCGATTTCCGGTTTTGCCTGAGATTCTAGCTAATGATATTTTTGTTCGCGGTAAACAAATATTTCTATCGGATATCGGATGTCTATCATGGCTAAAAAAACTTGTGGTATCTTATTCTTATGAGTTTTGGAGTGCATAAAAATCACTTTCCCGCGGTAATATCAATCCGTACGTTGTACCGATCGTACAATGCATTAATATAGTAGCAATAGAGAACTATTCCTCCCTTCAAGCTCAAATATTTTTTATTAATCTTCCAGTTAATCCGTATGCATGTACCTTCCATTTTTTGTGACGATCATCTCGTTCGTGATGCACTGGAATCTGGTCCAGAGCTCTCGATCTTCCAGCGACAAAGACAGCGGCAATCCTTGATTCCCCGAGATCGCGGCAGGAGGGCCAATATTTTGTCTCGCAATCGAACCCCGCTCTTCGCGATCTTCTCGATCCTCCACAGGACTCGTCCGATTCTGCCTTCCGCCGCGATCTCGCTCGCGATCTCGCTCCTGCTCGCGTTCCCTTTCGCGCTCGCGATCGCGCTCGTGGCACGAAGAACGCGTTGGAGAACCCGGCGTTCGCGGCGCGCCCGCCGGTTGCATCTTGAGTGTTCTCCAATAATAAATCACTTTGTATATACTTTGATCCTTTCACCCTCTCCGATATGTTATCAAATTAAAAATTCAATCGACGTTCTGTCTCTTGATCAAGAGTAACAATTATATATAAACTGTTGTATATACAAGGACAAAAAAAAAGTACGAAAACTACATGCGCGACGCGGTATATTTTCCAAAGAGACTCACAGCAGGAGAGAGGGACGTGAAAATTTGGTTTGCTTTCGCTGTTGATCGATTCGCAGATTCCAAATTTGCGACGTCGTCCCACGGGCACGGATGAGAAAAACGGATGTGATCTTGCAGAGGACAGCGGAGGGGGATGGAAAAGCGTCGTTCTCGTCGCGGCACCAAACGTCTCCGTCGGCGGCGGAGGATAGGCCGCGTTGTGAGAAGCCGCGCCGCGTGGCCGTAGGCTCGTAACACTTGGGCGCGATATTTCACACTAGTCGGCGAAGACTCGCCGAAGACTGACCGGCGATATATCTGCCTCTCTGTTCTCGCTTCGCGTCCTCTCTTTCTCCGTTTCTCAGTGGGTACGCGGCCGTCAAGAGAGGCACCGGCTCGAGCCGTGTTCGCGCTTGCCGGGTGCTAATTACTCGCTAAATTAGGAGCTCACGGGTGCAGCATGGCGGTACCATTACGGTATCCATTGGTTGAGGTCGATTTGCCGGTCGCCGCGTCGTCACAACGGCGGGTGCCGCCTTCGATGTCATGCCTCTACCAATGGACGAGTGAGTCGTCTTTACAAATCCACCGTGATTGGTGGGTTCGACAACAAACATGTCGTTCGCTAGTCCGCCCACGTCGCCGGTCGCCGGATTCTCGATTAGTCCTTACGGACAACGTACACGGATCCGCACGTGGTGAACCGAATCGTTGCTGTAATCGTCCTTTTGATTAATGTCGGTCGGTCGCGAATTCGTCTTGATCGAAAATATATACGTCGCACGGCCGATGGGAAGAAACCATCTTACCAAGGTCGCAAGGAAGTGTTTGTATCTTCGTGGAGCGAAATCACGGCAATGCGACATGTCACCTCTACGAGTTAATATTTGCGTCTGTTGCACTCGGGAAAGTATGCGAGATGTATTTGTTTCTCGTGAAAGATGTAAGTGTTGCTCTCGTTGACGAGGCATAACGGGCCTCGACATAGCCACACTAAAAAAACTTAAGAAATTGTTTCTCTGTCAGTTATTCTAATTTCTCTGTTTAAATATTCATTTTTAATATAAGGTAGCATTAATCTCCACAGCAAAAAATGAAATAGAATTAAATTGAATTAATTACTTTTCTTCTCTCTCTCTCTCTCTCTCTCTCTCTCTTCGTTATGTATAATAGTTACTGTCAACGAACAATTTGTTTAAAAATGAAAAGTGATTACACTCTTGTGTTTGATTGCGCTCTATTTTCTTTTATATTATAATTCTTTTTTGAAAAGAGGATGTTAAGTTTTGGCTGTTCATCAATCAAAATGAAAAAGTTCTGAGATGTACAAATTATATATGTTAATTATATATTATATTAAAAGCTTACTTAATGGAATCGAGTGATAAATCGTTTATCTTAATTGGGGAAACATTAAGAATAATAGGAGAAATTGCGTGATAAAATCTAATCACATTTATTGATAAAAATTGTTAAGTAAAACATCAAGACATCCCAGGAATTAGTAAGTGTGCACGTTATTACTTAAATCACTATTTAAGTGTTATATATTTAAGTAAAAGAAGTTAGAAGAGATTTTCAAGCGATTAAGAATCCAATATAAAATAATAAATTATTTGATTTCGAATTTTAGATTTGAACAACAAACGTGCCTAAGTTATACGTGTTTAAATACTAACAATATAGTCTTTGTTGCTTAAATTCTGGAATATGTTGATATCTAAATTTTTAGATTTATTATCTTTGATATACGATTTCTTCCGATGATATACGATGTTTTCGATATTTTCTCGTGATAAGCGATACACTACTCGATTCTATTTAAGGCTCGGTTTTTTTATTCTCTGGTTAACTTGTGGTTAGACTTAACCTGATGCTTTATCCAATAAGCTTCGTTTATGATGATGTTATTTATGATGAAGTCCATTGAGTGAAACATAAGGTTAAGCTTAATTACAAGTTAACCAGATAATGAAAAATCGGGCGCGCGCACATTAGCAGCCCTTTAATGTAATACTTAATTCACGTTCGGATTAAATATCTCAGAACTTTTTCATTTTAGAAAAACTTAATATTCTCCTGTATATATTGTATAACAAGATTTTGCAAACATTTCAATAATTTACTTAAAATCTCGTGATTCGCATCTCAGTCTCAGAAAGGAAATTCGTGAAATTTACTTGTAGTAATTTCGATATTTGTCGATTATGAAAATGGAGTTCCTCGTCTATCACAAACGAAACGATCGGAAAGGGGGGAGGAATAGGAATATGTTAGTCGTCTGGAGTCAAATGACAAAAATCAACAGAACACCGTTCGACCAGTCGCACGACGCATCGCGAGCAGATATTTGAGGAGGACCGTTCTCTTGTTTGCCATCGCGCACGGTTTCGGAGTTCGGACAGCAATCGCCGGACGTGAAGACGGCTGTAACTCTATCGGTTATTTGTGCTAGCAATTTCGTGCGGAGAGCATGTACTCGTGATCGTCCTGGTGCCGCGACATTGCCGGAGGCCGAGAGCGGAGCTATCTTTATTGAAGGCGGTCCGAGGTTGTCGAAGGTAATTACAATTTTCAGCCTGACTGCATCTGCGATTATTTACCAAAAATACCGTCAGTTCCTGAACCGCAAACTGCGCGGTGACATCAATCGCGAGATCTTCTTAAAAGTATATATGAAGTCGAAAACGAAAGTGTCATTTTTATTCTCCAAGTACTATCCACATCCGGTAGTTGTAAAAAGACAAGAACTTTTTAGGCAGTCTAACTTTCAACATATAGATGTTGAATGCGAGCTATATATAAAAAAAAACTGTATACAGCTACATACAACGCAGGCTACATAAAAAGAAAAGGATGCTAGTTCCTTCGGATCTAATGCTGACGACTTTCTAAAAGCATGAGTCTCACAATTGTACAAATCATAACTTTTATTAAAACTTTTAAAACTACCTTTCCTCTACACCTTTTTACAACAAAAAGATGTTTTTTTTTTACCTGCGTTGATCATAATCTTCAATGTAACACACATTGTAGAGGTAGGATATTCATCTTGTCTTAGTTCTTTCAACTGGCATGACACACACTTGGAAATTAAGAGATTTCGAAGGTGGGTTTATGTCCGTCCTATCCGCTGCACGGTGGCGTATCATAAAAATTTTACCTCGAACGACTTCTACGCAATCTGTACAACACTGCAAAGGTGTTTACGATAGGGACATTCTTGATTATTGCTACCTGCCGCTAGGTAGACACGAGTCGGGAGGTCTTCGGTATTCATTTATACTGTTTAAGGGATACCGCTACAGTTACGACCGCTTTGATAAACCGCTTTTTTGGCGTTTGTCTATTTACACACTGTATCATTCGCCGAATATTTTTAGCGGAAGTTGTGCGTTCCAAACGTCAAAAACGGCGATGTTTGCCGGGCAAAGATGTCATCATCTTCCCAAAAGATCTTTCAACTTATGATAATGCTTTATCAATCAAATCGTTGGCCAAGAATAAATTTACGATAGAATCAGATATGTAAAGTTTTAAACATTCAGAATTATTTATTACGCGATATTGCAAGTTGGTTTCTACAGGAAAAAATGGTTTTAATATCTAAAAAATTTTATTGAAATATCTAAAAATTTAGCTAGGTATATGTAGATCAGAAAATAATTTTATATTCAATTAGATTGAAAATAGTTATGTAGGACGTTTAAACTGAATATAATTGCTAAAATATAAAAGTATCTTGCAATATTGCTTATCATGCTTGAGATTCTTACATAATTATTTTGATAATCCAACAAAATTATTTTCAGACGCTATATAGTTAAATTTTTAGATATCTCAGTAAAATCATTCTTTTCATAAATTCGTATAATGAAGAAAAGAAAAAGAACAAAATCTAAGAATTAAGATAAGAAATATGCCGCAAATGTCAATTTCTAAAAATTATATGTTTAAGTCATTGTGATAACTCGTCGCTTAACAAATAAAATGTTTGAATATTCAAACGAATTACTGCTTAATTATTAATAATGATACCAACTACTGATTTTCTTTAATTATTTTTCTCGTTAGATTTATACGTGTCCAAGTCAGGTGAATTTTTATCTTGATTCATCTTTAGATTGATAATTTCGCGTTCTCGTTGAATATTGGGATCTCTCAATTCATCTACGCTAATGATGGCATAATTTCGTCGTGCACGATCACTAATGATTCTTTCGTATCCCATATGATTACCAAGCAACATTGGGAATTCCGTCGGATGTGGGATCGTTGCTTTTTGCCGAATCCACTTTGTTTGATTGAAATAATCCATTAAAGCCGCGTAAGTCTGCGTAATTTCATGGAAAATAAAATTAAAAATCCTTAATGTCGATACTCAAGTTCCAGAATTAAAAATATGACTAACTGTAATTTCGTGAGACTTATGTTGAAATTCAGTAGATATTATCTGAAAGTAATATTAAAATTTAATGTCATTCTTACCACAAGGTTATCAGGAATTCTGGCTATTGCGTGTCCGGTCTGGGTGAACCAACAATACTCATTGGGCAAAATATGCGATATCAGTCGTCCATCTTCTGTGAATCCGTGAATAGTATTGGCTCCTAGGATACCGTGGGATTTCGATGGAAAGGGAAACAGCAAGGGAGTCGTCAAGTAGGCTTCCGGGATCAGCTGGGAAAAAAATAAGACGTACTATTTTGTTTTTTTTTTCTTTACTGTCGCATAGACATCCGTTTCTTTTATTCTTGTCATACTGCTCGCGATCGTCCCAATCGAATGAGAGTAAAGTTATACATTTCAATGTTGATCTTTATGTCCATCTTATATCACAGGACAATTATACCGCAAATGCCAATTTATCTACATATTCAATATATTTTTCATTTTAAAAGGACACTGTACCTTTAATATTTTCGGCATCAAAAATTTTTGACATTTGTGGTACTTATGTTGCATAAAACATTGTAGGTCTGTTGTATAGGTCGGTTTGTTCTATCATCTTTAGCTACCGTTGCTTATGATATTGTATCACACAGCGTACATTTATGTTCATCTGATTAATTGAAAACACAGTATTCTTCATTTAAAGTTATCTGTATCTTCCAACATGCACAGTACATCAACGCCAAGGAGATTTTTTTATGGTGTCACATACTATTGATATCTAATTCAGAATTATTTCGATTTCGTCCTACGAAGATAAAGTAATTTTTTGATTATGATATTTACGCACACTCCAATTTGACAGCTGTTTAAATATGTTTTGTAAGGCGTGAGATTATGCTCATTCCGTTGCAAGAAGTGGAATATATTTTTTTCAATTTTATATATGTGTGTGTGTGTGTGTGTGTGTGTGCGCGCGCGCGCGCGCGCGCGCGCGCGTGTACTAATATACTTTCATTCACATAGTCATACTATTCTATCGAATATATTCCACATTTTCGGAGCGGAAGTGTGACGTTTTGCTTTCACTCGCGAGCGATCGCGCGAACAGAATGAGGGAAATTGTTTTTACGCGACCATACGTAGGACGTAAGCGCGACGGTGAACGCGACATAAAAGTTTTTCGTTTAATTTTTGGTCCCATCGTAGGTACAGGGTATCCGGCACGAATTTATCCCGAATTAACTGGTCAATATAAGACTATGACGCAAGTTATAGATATTAGCGCGTATTAAGAATCTACCTACAATGAAATACATTTCATTGTAAATTAGAGTGGAAAACAAATTTTTGTGCAAAATTAATATATTCAAAAATTAATATGAACATTTAGCAGAGTTGGCAAAAGTCCACATTTTTTGGATAAAGTCTATGCCAGTGGTAAAAACCGGTATTTTCCGGAAAAAACCGGCAAAAAACCTGATCTTTTCTATTAAAAATAATCAAATAAATAGATTTGATTATTTTGAGTAAAAATACATTAAGAGGAAGACATAAGGGCCCTGTATGGGCTTGCTTTGAATCTTGTACAGTTGACAACATTATTAAGCAGAAATGTATTGCTTGTGGAACATTAGTTAGTGGAAAAGCTCCACGACTGAAACATCTTCAAAAGTATAGTAAGTTTGAAAAAAACGATGATGATAATAAAAGTGAATCAGACAGGAAGAGTGAAATGAATAAATCAAGTAAAAGAAGAGAGATGCATCGATAGCGAATCATCTTCATGTGTTCTTATATTTTAAAACAGTAGTTTTATAGTTTTTACCAGTTTATTATTCCAGTGAATAAACTCCGGACCGGTAAAATCCGGAATTTACTCTGGTTTTTTCCACCCACTGGATTTTTCCTGCCAACCTTGACATTTAGAGGTAAATACAATCAGCATTTAAATGCAATAAAGTATATATATAGGTATAGAAGAGTATTAATTTAATTGGTCCATTAATTATTAGTTAACCAACTAAAATTAATTAGCAGTATGTGCAAAGAAAGAAAAAATGTGTATATAATTGTCTCAAGTATCAAATAATTTTAGATGAACCAAAATAAGAGAAAAATTTGAAAAGAAATGTTTAAATGCAGATTCTTAGTACGAACCATCGTGCATGCCCCTTCGCAATTATTTTCCAGAAACGGAAGAGCGTTTACCTGTCGGCTTCTCGGCTTCCTACGCTCGCAGGCGTACTTCACTTTTATTTGATCGTTTCTCCGTGCGGCAATACGTTCTGACCTAAAGAATCTACTAAATAATCTTACTCTCTTCGTCGCGCATTTTCATTTCTTCTTATTACACACGATTATTATATATATAAGTATATATATATTTATTTATATTTATATGTATAATTTCGTCGACGTGTATATCGCCGACGGCATCTAACAACAGTGATGGAAGGTGCCGATCGAATACGAATCGTCTCGGCATGATTTCTTTTGATTATATTTTCCTTTTGGCATACGAGACGCGGTATATCGTGCTACTTTGATTTTCGTTAAGGCGAGAGAACTCGACGAGAACTCCCCGACGCATCCCCGATCCTCTAAAAGGCACAATCTCGACGAACGTTCGCAGTTTGTCGGGACGTTTCGTACGCCAATATCGATCCCCGACAGCTTTCGCCAATCGATGCACTTGCATTCGCTACGCATGACACGCGTTTTGCCCCGCTTTTACTTTCCAAGCGACGCTGTAGGTTCCGACAAAGGTTTCATCATGAAGACAAATCCAGAGGTTGAACCGATGCGATTTCGAGCTGAATTTCTGACACTAGAGGTATCAAAGGTTGGTTCTTATGTCGTCTCGCTAATTTCTTTGTCACAAATAAACGTGGAAATGACCTTGGCGGTTAAATTTAAATACATCGAAATTATAACGGGTCCAATTTCTGGATAAGTATCTCCTATTGGCATGTATAATGTAAAGTGTGGACAGTTCTTTTGTCATAAAAATTTGCTACACATCAACACTATAAATGTTACAGCGGTAATTTGTTTGTTGTAACACACGTGTTTCTATCGGAAATACAATATACCGCCACACTCAACTTTATCGCAAACTGTCACGCACCGGAAAGCTACGGGAACCGTTTTAGCCTAAAAAAAGACGAGGATAACGTCCTATTGAAATCGATCTGCAGCGGTATTCTGTACCGTACCACCGTACCAATGATATTTATTAATACCATTATAAATTATTAAGAAAAAAATGGCCGTTTGTGCAATCGCGAAGCAATAAATTTAAGATGACTCTTTCATTTTCCAATTATAATCTAAAAATAGTAAATTTTTGGTTCCAAAAACATTAAATGTCTCTTGATATTTCTCAATAGCGATAACATGGAGAAATGTATGGTACATGTACGGTACGCGATACCGCAGCCGATCTCGTTTAAATTTCGCTACCTATAGCACCTACGTGTGGACTGTGCCAGCGCGGTGTCGCTGGTTGTCCGCAGTACGCGCTGCCGATCGACGACGGCGCGGGCGCGCCGACGGTACGGGCGTCATCGCCAACAGCGAATGCGGTCCGATTATCCTCGATGTCGAAAATCCTGCAAGAACCGGTCGTGGTGGTCGCGATAGCTGCCG